GGGAAAAAGGAGGGGAATTAGGGAGGGTTTCTGGGGAGAGGCAAAGGGAGTCTGGGAGGGGGTCTGAATTAGGGAGGGGGTCTGGGGAGAGGGAAAGGGAGAGTGATTTAGGAGGGGTCTGGAGAGAGGATATGGGGAGAGGGCAGTAGGAAAGGAATTTGGGAAGAGGTCTGGGAAGGGGGCTTAGGCAGAGAGGTCTGGAGGAGCAGCAACCTGCCCCCCTCTGAGCCTGGTGAATTCCCCCCTCACTTGGGCCACCTTCTCCCCCCATCCTCACACCTCCCCTGGGCCTTTTTTTCCCCCCCTCAGGACCACCTCAGGAGACACAGTGGAGCTGGTGGAGGAGTCTCTGGATGTCAACCTGCTGCACAACGCCGTGCGGCTCCGGCTGCAGGGCTGCCCGTTGCTGCCGGGGGGGGTCCATCTCTGCGAGCTGCAGAGCCACCTGGTGCTGCTGCTGGTCACCGGGCAGACCCTGCACCGCCTCTTCCTGCCCCATCCCGCCCGCCTCTACCGCAGCGTGAGTCCCCTCCCCCTCCATCCCTGACCCCCGGGAGCCCTTCAGCACAGACACCCAGGGCCTCCTGAAGGGGCTTATCAGGGTGGGCACAGTGGGAGGCTTCCTGCTTGGGCTGGGCTGGGCTGGGGCAGGGGCGAGTTTGGGCCGGGACAGGGGGCAGTTTTGGGACAGGGTGGGCTCAATTTTGGTGGGGACAGGGTCAGTTTGGGCTGGAATAGGGTCAGTTTTGGTAGGGAGAGGGTCAGTTTGGGCCGGGATAGGTTCAGGTTTGGCAGGGATAGGGTCAGTTTGGGCCGGGATAGGGTCAGTTTTGGCAGGGACAGGGTCGGTTTGGGCCGGGACAGGGTCAGGTTTGGCAGGGACAATGGTTAACTTTGGGCTGGGACAGAGTCAGTTTTGGACCGAGACAGGGACAGGTTTGGGCCAGAACAGGGTCAGATTTGGTGGGGACAGTGGTCAACTTTGGGCTAGGACAGGGTCAGTTTTGGGCCAGGATAGGGACAGTTTGGACCAGGACAGGGTCAGTTTGGGCCAGGACAGGGTTAATCCTGCCAGCAGCCCGTGAGGTGCTGTGTTTGGATCTGTGTCCCAGGCAGTGCTGACAACACAACTAATTGTTCAGCTTTTGCTGAGCAGTGTTTGCTCAGCCTCAAGGTCTCCAGATGAGGTGGTTTGAAGGGTGTGATGGTTTGGGAGGGGGCACAACCAGGCAGACCTGAGGGATGTTCCTGGCTGGCAATAAGAGGGGAAAGAGGCTTTTTGAGGAGGTTTAACCACTTTCCTGCAGGGGAACCTTGCTATAGGTGTTGACCTAGCCAGCCTTTGATTTGTTTTCTTTGCTGTTCTGTTTCCCCTTCACTTTATAAGCAATTCTTTACTTTTTTACCTTCATCCCCAAGTTTTCTTGCTTTTATTCTTCCTTTCCTCGTGCCCCATCCCACCTGGGGATTTGGGCAGGGGACCTTGGCTGGGCTGCTGGGAGGAGGTGGGGAGGCCTTGGTTTGGGTTTATTTTCTTCGCCTTCTTTTTCCCTTCACTTATTAAACCATCTTGATGTTAACCTACATGTTTTTACTCCTCTCATTGTCCCCTGCCTGCTGGGCAGTGGTGGAAACTGCTGGGAAAAGCAGTGGGAGAGGGCAAGCAAGCTGGGAATGTCTGACTTTGGAAGTGGCTGTGGTCAGCCTGCACACAGGGGAGGCAGAACCTGTGCCACATAAAACTTGCAGCCTTTGCCCCAAAACCAAGGGGGTTTCAGGTTTGTGAAGCCTCTGATTTTGGTGAAATGAGGTTTGGAGGTGGCTCTGCTGGTGGTCCCTGGCTTTGGGACAACAGGAACAAGGGACCTTTGGAGTTGGGAACTGAGTGTTCAGGAGCAGCCCTGCTTGTGTTTGTAACTTGTTCTCTGTATGAAGCAACATATAAAATCTTTATTCCATGTGGAAGTTGGGTTGACATCACATTTGCTGTGACCTTTCCTTATCACATCTGCTTCTGGTGCATCTTGTCCTGTCCCTTTCCTCTCTTGGAGGGTTTCTGCAGCTCCAGGTGGCTTTCCCAAGGGATGACACTGCTGCTGCTGAGCTGCTCTTGGCAGGACTTGTTACTCCCTTGGCCTAGGGCTGTCCTGGAGCAGCTGGTGGGCTCGGAGCCTCCTTCGGGGCTTTAGGAGGGAGAGAGCAATAGTTCTCCCAGAAAATGTGTTTTGAAATTCCCTTCACACTTGCTGGGAAGGAGCTGCAGTCGTGGGTTAGCAGGAAGGGGGAAAGAGGATTTTTAGGGATGAAAACTCATCCTGGAGAAAACCCTTTCTTATCAAGCAGCAGCACTGGTCACCAGTGCCACTCCAGAGGTTCCTGCTGGGTGTTTCCATCCCTGCCTGCTCAGGGTGTGTCCTCTGTGCCTTCCCCTCCAGGAGCTGCTCACCGAGAGCCAGATGCAGTCAGTGTTCACGGATATTGGCAAGATTGACTTCCAGGATCCATCCAACTACTGCAACATTCCCAGCGTGCCCGGCCTGGCTCCCACCTCCACGGCCTCGGCTGCCTGGCTGAGCAGTGAGGGGGAGGCTCTGTTTGCCCTGCCCTCTGCCCTGGGGGGCATCTTTGTTGTCAAGCTCCCTCCTCCTGACACACCTGGTAAGGAGCAGGATCCACCTTCCTCCTCGGGGATCTGCTCCGGGTGGCTTCTCTTCCCCTGCCTTTGAGCTGGAGTGGGATTTTGGGGGGGGGGAGGGTGGTAGAGATTGACTCCACACACAAAAGCTCTTTTGTATGATCCCCAAAGCTCTTAAATCATCCCCAAACCTCTTTTAAATCATCTCCAAACTTCTTTTGTATCATCCCCATGAAGCCCCTCGCTGGTGGCACTCAATTATTAACTAACGAGCTCTCAATATTTGCCTTAATCTCCCTTTTCTTCCCAAAGGATCAATTTCCATTGTGGAATTGAAGCAGAGCTCCGTGATGCAGCGTTTGCTCACCGGCTGGATGCCCACTGCCATCAGGTGAGTGTCTGGCAGCCAATTAAGCAGAACTAATTGAGTCTCTGCCAGCTCCCTCACCCTCCAGTGTGTGGCTGAAGGCAAAGCTGCTATAAATACTGCCCAGAAGAAGCAAAGTGGGTCACAGGGACCCGCTGCGGGACGGAAGCTGAGAGTGGGACACTGAATTAGCTCCTCTTAACAAGGCCCTGCTGATGCTGTGTCTACCAGTGCGTTGTATCTATAATTGGCCTCCAAGGATTTGCCCAGGATGTGGCTGGCAGCCAGCAGGGATTAAGGATTACAGCAGTTCTTGCCCTTGTTCTGAAATGTCCGGCTCCTTCCTGAGCGGCCGAGGTTCCGCGGGGCTGACACGGATGCTCCGTGTGCAGGGGTTGGGTCTGGAACTGTTATGGTGTCTTAGGCCAAACAGATTTGTGGAATCCTTCAGGTTGGAAAAGACCTCTAAGATCATCCAGGGCAACCTTCACCCAGCACCATCATGCCCACTAAACCATGTCCCCAAGTGCATGGTTTTTGATCACCTCCAGGGGTGGTGGCTCCACCCCTGCCCTGGGCAGCCTGTTCCAGTGCCTGACCACTCTTCCAGGAAACAAATTGTTCCTCATATCCAATCTAAACCCCCTCTGGCACTACTTGAGGCTATTTCCTCTTGTCCTTTCACCAGTTCCTTGGGAGAAGAAACCAACCCTTAGACCCTAGTAAGGGCCATAGAAACCCCAGCCCTTGGATCTCCACACTAGGTTGGAATTTCTTTTAAGCTGTTGAAATAAATACCACCTTTCCAGAGGGGACTGTGGCCCGTCGGACCTGCCTGTCAGCCTCTCTGTCCACTGCCTGGATCATGATGCCTTTCTCTTTGCTCTCTGCCAGGACCACAAGCTTCGGATGTGGTCCTACAAGGTGAGTAAAGCCCAGGATCTGAGGGTCCAAGGGCTGGGAGGTTGGTGGGGATTTGATCCACCCTTAAATCATCTCCACAGCTTCTCTGCGCTGAGATTCGGGGGGATTTGTGGCCTGGTGTGTGTTTGTGGCCACCTTTTGGGTGAGATTTCTCTCCAGCCGAGCCTTGTGCTGAGGGTGGGAGGCAGGATTAGATTCTGGAGCATTCAGGAAGATGGGTGGGAATGGTTTGGGAGCCCAGGAGAGACACAGATGGATTTGCCACCACTTCAGTGGGAATAGGAGCGTCCTTGTAACGCGGCTCCTTGTCAACAAGAAGTTAATGAAGGCTCCGCTCCCGCTTGCCACTTGCTCCAAATACCAGTGCCAAAGCTAATGGACTGGCACAACTGCCTTCACGGCTCATCTGCCCTGGAATGTGTGTGCTGGGGGAGGAGGGGAAGCTTCATCCCACGTGCCCAGGCTCTGGAAATCCATGGGAGATAGTGCAGGTGAGACAGGGAAAGCTGAAGAGTGGTTCAGGTGCATGTACAGATGC